ACAGTAGCCTCCCTCAAAAGGACTACCATTAATCCCTCCTGGAGGATGAGGATGATTTAAATTAAATTATGGCTATATCAATGGAGTACTTCATATACAGTGAAACCTTGAGGTATCACTTTTTACAAGAACAGATTTAAAAAAAAAAAAACAGTCCGGCACCTCCCCAGGATCATTTGACTCTTGCGCTGAGAATTGTTTGGGCATTTCTGATACCACCAGTGAAAACAGTTCATGTAATTCCTCCAGCTGGGGCATCATTACTGAGCAGGCCCTAAGTATTCCCTCCCAAGATAAATATAGCCTCTGTCTCCTCAACCCATCCCAAATACTGTCAACATTTTTACACAACAATTAAATATATGCTGTTCAAATGGCATTACTGGGGTAATCGTAATATACCAAAATGCTCTCTGAAGCGATGCCTGTTGCGTTAGACTTGTTGATAGCACGCATGTTTTTTCCTTTAGCTTTTTGTTATATGTTTTTAATTGTTGTACAACAGCCTCACCAAATGGGAAACCTTCCAGGACATTTGGGGAATTGAAGTTCACCTTTCTGTAGACTGCTCAGGTTAGGAGCAGGTTGTTGTAGAGAGGTACTATACTTGGTATAGTGAGTTCTCCAGAGGAAGAATAATATATATACAGAAATGAAAAAATCATCATGCCAAAAAATAATAATAGATGTTGAAAACTAGAATTAAAGATGAGTTAGCTAGGCTTTAAATATTTAGGCAAGGATGCATTTGAGCCTCGCTTTTTTCATGGCTCCTTAAGCTTTCTCCAACATGGTACCCATAAGATGGCCTCCTAGGTTGGACATAGTCTGGGACTACTGTCCATGCATATGATATTTGTTCTTGCTTCCTTACAGTATGCTATTCCAAGTATTATTAAAAGATTCCAGATTGTAGTAAAACCCAGTTATCATACATTAAAACACTAAATTAATTTCAGTGTAATAACGCAGAGAATGAATTATAGGAAAAAGCATTGTATTTGATTCTCAACTTAGTGGGGCATAACAAAATCCAAGCAATCTTTAACTATTGCATGTAAACAAGGCATAAAAGAAAACAAGCTCACCTTGTAGAACTGGCTTAAAAAACATCTTCAGATCCCCCTTCTGAGCATTAGACTCATTGAACCATCTCTTGCCAAATGTCTTAAGGGTTATGGTGACATTATCTTTAATCTGGATTTTTTCAATGACTCCACCAGGACAAAAATAACCAAGACTCCATGCCCTTCCTGGGCTGGAGCCATTAATGATATAACTATAACTTCCAGTGCACCTTTGATCCCGGTTTGGGATATGTTGCTTGAGTTTCAAGGTGGAAGACCTGATTTCTATATTCACTGCTTCAAGAGCTTGAATCTTCCATGTAAATGTTTCAATTAAAACTGGCAGCTGGAGAAGAACAGAAGGCACAGCCAGCTGGAAGAATAAGTTTTCACATGTTCTGGCATTCCAGCAAACTGTATTCAGAAAAACAGAGAACAGCAGATTCGAATCTGAAACTAAATAGAGAATCGGGCAATTTTCTAATTTCTCCACTATTGCTTTTTCTACATGTCAAGCTTTTTGGTAAATCCATGAAATTTAGTATTTGAGATATTAGAGAGTAATTGTCCTATCTATTAATCTTCCACAGATGGTGCCCTCCAGATTTATTAAAGTTCAGCTTTTAATTCACTACTCACATTTTTCATTTCAAGAAACTATTATTAAACTACATAAAGCCTTGGTTCACTGATCACATTAAACCATCATATTTTGTTTCTGGCTTGGCATGTTTCATGATCCCAGATATTGTGATTTGTAAAGCGTGGCTTAGGATGTGCAAAGTTAGACAATCATGATAGTCAACAACCATGGCTTACTACAATGTGTAAATTCAGTAACTCTCAATATTGATCTGTAGATCAATTCTTCCCTCTTAATTTATACTGATATGTGAACCGTGGCACACATGATTATTTGATCCTCTTACTATGAGTTACATAGCATACCCTTTTCAAAATTCATACTTGGAAAAGCAAGCAGAAAAATTTTTAATGAAAAAACCTTTGCCAGTTAGCACTTAATTATAGTTTACAATTTTTAGCTGTGCAAACAAAATTAAAATAATTTAGTCGGCCAGACATTTTTCCAATTTCTTTTCAAGCCAATTTTCTTTTAAGTTCTCCTCAAAGGCTATCTGGCTACCCTATCTGATGTCATTTTTTGTTCAAAATTAACTATCTTCATTTGCAATATATCACTGAGCTGAAAAATCCCCTATTAATTCTTAGAAGCATTTAGATTTTGGAAAACGTGTACATTTGAGGGTTGTGTGACTGTCTTTTATCCTCAGTGTCACCATGTTTCAGTAGTGCTTGGAATAATCTGTAAGCTATCCATTGGCTTCCAGTAGAGGCAATGGCCACCCTCAGATCATAATATGCTCAATTTGCACATAGAAGATTAATAGATATCAAACTGAGATAATATCACAATGCATTTAGAAAAAAACTGGCTGTCACTGATATTCCTTCCTCATGTTACTTGTTTTAAACACTTTTGGCTTGCCTTTCAGTTTTAAAAAAGTGTCTTGACAATCTTTAACACAGCATTGTGAGAACATAAAACATGCTCCATGAAATATGTGGTAGAATAAAAACAAATAAATAAATGGATGCAACAGAATAACAGCCAGGGGATGGGGGGTGGGAGAGATGATTTCTTCTCCATCATCAAGGAGGGTAGCAACGTGGTGGATATGACCAAAAAGAGCATTCTAAGAAATAAGGAATCACCACAGATGACGTCTTGTCTTCTCTAATAGTGAGGAAATCCAAAATAAGGCACTTGACAATTGAATTGGGTTAATACATTATGGATGCCAATCTGCCCTTCACATAACTGCTCCCATTTTCAGTCAACAGAAACCACACTTTATTAGTTCAATCTAGCAAAAAATTAGTAGCCTTTAAGGTTCTATAAAAGTTGGAGAAATGTTCTATTCTTTCTAATTCTGAATAAAGTTTCCAATGTCCATGTATAGCATATGTTATGTTAGTAATCAGAGTCCATCTTATCTTTCCATTTCTATTTAACACTGATCTTAGCATCAGTGTAATATGGAGATGTATGCTGGAAAATAGGTAAACATAGGTTCAATAATTATAATTCATTACTTCTCAATATGTTTCTAACATATGCCACATCTCAATAAACTATATCTTCTCCCAACCTGGTATCTTCCAAATATAGCTTCTAAATATAGCTTTCATAATCTCTAGCCATCATGCCATGAGTAAGGATGATGGGAATGGTAGTTCAACACAAATGGCAGCCTTCAGATTGAGTTAGGTTATAAAATGTAATGGCAAAGCAATTATCTTGGAGGCAAGTAGAAATCTGACTTCCTATAACATATGATGGTGTTCAGTTCCACCTGGCTATTGAAAGTCAGGTTTTTTTTCCTAGTTTGCCAGCTCTCAGAAGCAAAGTTAGAGAGGGGAAAACAAAAACAAAAAGCATGTTGAAGTTCAAGTAAACAAAGAACAAAATACATTCTCAGTGGACATCTGCTTTTCCTTTCACGTAACAAAAATCTAGATATTTTTCTCATACCTATACTTTGCTCAGCAATTATCCTTATATTCTCCAAATCTTGGCACAGAAAGGTGACTGAATAGATGAGGCCATATTCTAAAGTCACATTTGGTCTGCAGTTTCTGCTAGAGTGAACACAGATCAAGCATTCATTCATTGAATTTGTTCCAACGTTTGATGACTTTGAATAAATTGTAAGATTAGTCTTCTCGCGTGTTAGGTCAATTAGGTGGGTTACATCTAAAAACAAACAAACAAACATCATATATAAGATCATTTTTAAAAAGAACTGTTCACCTGTCATATTCTTACAAGAAAATAGTACTGTTATCTCAGGATTTAGTTAGATCTACCAAGGGATATGCTGTAAGTTTATGCAGGTTTACTGTGATAGACTTTAAAACAATGAAAGATGCACAAAGGAATGGGCAGACAAAATTGCCTGATTTTAGAAGAAGAATTATAATTTATCTGAAATCTGACTTAATAGATTTATGTGAGAGTAACTGATGTTAACATTGTATCCATATTCTAAAAAAAAAAACAAGATTGGGAATCTTGATTTCAATATTTGGTTGATCTAGTTGTCTTAGTGAAAAAGGGAGAAGATAATTTCTGACAGCAGTTAAAATGTTATATACCCGATTGCATAAATTATGTGGATGCATGTATATTTGGGGATGACAGGAACTATAAACCAACACAACTGGAAGATACTAGTTGGGGAACGTTTCTTCATATTTAGCTGGTTTGCAAACACATTGACCAAAGAAGGATGGCTACTTACTCTCTTCATTTTTAGGGTAATCAACAACCACTTTAAAAAGGAGACTGAGTGCCCCTGGTTTCAGGTCATCTTGGTCACATCCTTGCAGGGAAAGGTTGAAACTGCCAGGAATATTGACAGGTTGCACATCATTCAGGGACAACACTCTAACATCAGGCCCAGAAAAATAATCAGGTAAGAAATATTCCACCCGCTCATATTTCCGTTCACAGTTTGGTTTTGTATAATTGATGAAGTTGATATCTGCTCTTAAATTGGATGGAAGAACAAACTGCCATGTCATGAGTTCATCTTCTGGTAACCCAAATGGATAGTTGGCAGACATCAAAGTTGCTGATGATTTGCCTTCAAATGTCGATTCAATAATGCACAGTCCTATTTTAAAAAGAGAAGGAAGATCTATTTCAAAGGAGAAAAACTCCATGTACATCAATCAAAGATTCTCAAAGCGTAAGGCACTGAAATTAGAGGTTGGCTACATTGCAGCAATTCACCTCATTTTTGATAGTTCAGAACTCAGTGATGCCATTGACCAGCTCCTTTCTAGTCCATCTAGATCAGTGTTTCTCAACCTTGATGGCTGGTTGGGGAATTCTGGGAGTTGAAGTCCATCCATCTTAAAGTTGCCAGGGTTGAGAAACACTGATCTAGATAGTGAAAAATGCGTTGTTATAACCTCTCTCAAGTCCAACGGCAGCATTCAGCTTTCCTCCAAATTAACGAGGCATTAATTTTCAGCTGATATACTACACCAAGACAAAGTCCTCAAACCCTGCCCATCAAGGGGCACGAAAAAGTGTTTAACTTAGTGAATGTGCATTGATACCCTCTACTGGTAGCATTAAGCTTGTTTACTATGATTTGTGGACTTCCACCTATATGAATACATTGTTAAATTAGCCCAGCTTCTCCTTCTTATTTAGGCCTCTTTACTCTGAGTTACAGCTTTGGTCTAGAAGAGGAAAATATTTTCTATTGTTTGAGGAAGCAGAGTAATAGTGACTCCATGGTATGTAAACAGTAATGTTACTATAGCTCAGTAGAGACCATCAATACAGATGACAATGTTGAACCCTAGCATCAAGACACAGGAGGGGGAGGAATATCCTATTGTGAATTAAAATAGAGTAATTATAATAAGGGATTATTTCAGTTGATTTCTTGAAGTGGTATAGATTTATGCTTCTCACCTCAGCTTAACAGACACTGTGTTTGTCTGAAAGCACACTGTATTAATCATACTAAGATACAATATTTTCATAGAAAACAATATTTTCATTTAAACATTTCCAAACAAAACTCATTTTTCAGTGGAATAGCTTTGTCAAAGAACTGAACCCTGTCTACTGTTGTAAAAGTTTACATCATGGATTCAGCTTGAAACAAATTTGAGCATTTTGCTGCCAGCCAATTCATAGTGGCACAAACGCAAGCCACAAGTGAAGTCAAACTGATTATCAACTTTCCCTTTAAAATCTGTGTGAGAAAGAATGTTGGACTTTGTTTATTAAGTATGCACAGTGGCCAGGGTTTTTCCATGTATTTTGGGATCATTTTAGGAAGCTTGTAAAAAAAAAAAAAAAAAAAAGCAAAATGGACCACTTCATATATTGAATAAAATAAGTCTAACCCAGTATCCTAATTGCCAAACCAGAAATCTGTCCAAAAAAAGCAGATAGTAAAATGGAATGAATTTTATGTGATCCATACAATCAGAATCCTGTCTGGGTCTGTTGGCATGAAATATAAATAAAGTAATTTTAAAAATTAATAAATCAACTTAAATAATAAACTGAACACTTTAAAAAAAGAAGCAAGGTTCCCCCCCATCAAACATAAAAAGAGAATACCATTTGCTAAATGCTAGGTCAACTTCTCACAGCTGATTTTGAGGATACACCTCTTAAAATATGTGCAAAAAAAGTGGCATGAATCCATTGTTGCTATATTCTCTAGGCAGGCTTCTGAGTTTGAGCAAGTCCATCCTTCATAGATATTAGCCATAGTTTTCAATAAACCTATGCTCAATCTGCACAAGGCATAGTTCACAATGTTGATTTAAAACCTTCCACATTATCCACAAGTAGATTTCAATTATTAAATTAAGCCCAGGATAATAGACTTTCTGCTTCCAACCTGCAACATTCCCATATAATCCTTAAAAATAATAATAAACTAAAATAACCCATATTAAAAAAAAAGTCCTCATCCATTAAAAAGACTGAAATAAAA